TTCTTTCTTTCGCCTTATGCTACTATAACCTGCTGGTTGCTGTTGTTTTTTTTGTTTGTTCTTTCTTTCGCCTTATGCTACTATAAACTGCTGGTTGCTGTTGTTTTTGTTTGTTTGTTCTTTCTTTCGCCTTATGCTACTATAAACTGCTGGTTGCTGTTGTTTTTGTTTGTTTGTTCTTTCTTTCGCCTTATGCTACTATAAATGTTCCAACTAAATGAATTTGTGTATTTAATACTATCGATTAATTAATACAGTCGCTGAAGATGGAATGTGAATATTTCGAAACGTCCGACGAATAAACGTACATTACCGAAAATAAAGTGTCGAATGTTTGCTATTACTGTCGTTCTACTGATATATTAAGCATCATGATTTTCGTTTGCAAAATTTCATTTTATCAAAGAGGGAATTAAAAGAAGTGAGCGAAAACAATTCTTTTAAAAACAAATAAGATTAGTAACTTATAATTCCTTCACCTTTTTGTCGCAAAAATTAGGTAACTTGTAATTAAAAGTTTTAAGTGTTCTCATAAAAACAGCAGTAGTATCTAAACAAGATTGAGATCTTAATAATACTAGAAATAAACGACCTTATAACACCAAAATGATGTTTTTATTTAATTAAACACTCAACGTTTCACTTTACAGCTTTTTCAGGAGCGTTCACTGAAACACAAACAAAGGTTGTTTATTTCGAGTATTAGTGTCTTCTATACACTAATATGCACTACAGAAGTTAAACATTGAGAACTTGTGATGGCGTTGCTGTGGTAGGGAGGGTCTATAACGTGATGTTGTAACAATGTAAGGTAAAATTTGAACGAACTGCTTATACTTTAGAATAATAAACGACTTAAATTTATGAATATAGTGAAAATTGTTTTTGTATAAGTTACTTGATAAGTTTGTTGTAACTTGGAGAAGGGAGAAGAATAAAGAGGTTCTGGCTTTTTATTATGAAGTTATTTAGATTTAGGGCGTAATACTAATAACCTTAGGTCCCCCTATGTCACTGACACTGTGACAGTGACATTGACAATGCGTTTGTGTGAAGGTGTAACATGGATTTAAATTTTTTAGTTTTTAATTTCAAGTTTTTTATCACGGATTCCAACGTTGGTAATACCATTCTTCTATTTGAATTTACTGGGAGAAGAAAATATATTTATTTCACTGATAATGATATTTTAATAATGGTACAAAAAATCATTAGTCCAACTTTGTTTTGTTAAGTAATCAATAAATTATAAATATCTGCTTAAGTTAAGTCACATTAATTAGAGTTTCAGGGTTTGTGCCTAGGATTTCATTTTTAATCATTATCTAAATAAGTCATAACCTTGTGACTTGTAGTTGTATTACAACTGAGTACAAGTTACAACTTACAAGTACATGATATGGCACATTATCTTGTTAAAGTTATGTGGCAGAATATGAAAAAATTAATGCAACACACTAAAAACATTCACATACAAACTTTTGCACATTACAAGAGAGGTATTTCCAATTAGCATATAAAAAAGATTTTATATTTTCAATTACAAAAATATTGTTGTTACTGAAAATCTCCAATCTTTTTTTTCTTGTATAGTAGTGGGAAGTGTTGTTTTATAAATATTATTAAAGTCATTGATGAAATTATCTGCTGCAGGCATGTTGTTAGGGAATGCTTTATATTACACAGTTAATGGAATTGTTGGATCTTTTCCATTTGGTATCCACCAACATTTCAACTTAGTCTTAGGAATGGCATACAGTATTGTGAGTATGTTGGTTATAATACCAAGTGACAAAAATATTAACTTAAATAAAATAGTAAACAATTATTCTCCACATTTCCTTCAAGCTCTATGACATAATTCTTTGATAATGTATACTTTCCATTACCATTTCTAATTTCATTTAAAAATTCATTAATAAAGTAATTTAGAGCTTTCCCTAATACTTGTATTTCTTTCATTCCTTAAATATAATCAGTCACATGCAAATATATATAATGAATATGAAGTATATAACAGTTTTAACTTTAATTTCATAGAGCTTGCAGTCCCATAGCTTTCAGCTACATTGGTCAAGAGCTTGGCATAAGGTACTACTGTAAATCAGCAACACCTAACCATATTTATATTTGAGTAAGGAAGCACATTATGCTAATGTAATAATAGGTAGGCAAACAACAATTGATAAGAATAAGGAAGAATTTTATTGATGGTGGAACATACTACATGTAGTTCATAATTATGTCATTTTAATTATTCATTGCAAAATATATAGTGTTGTAATCACCAATGGTTTCTTCTGCACGTAAATTATTGGGATGACAACTTAAAAGCTGAATGTGTCATAAATAACTTAAAAACTACTTGCAAAAAACAATTAGTATGAAGTTACTACTACTTGTGGGGCCTACACTTTTGTACATTTTAAACTTGTATGATACAGTATGTATGCACATACCAGTAATGTGCAGATTACATTGGAAGGGCAGGGTCCATTATAAACAAAATGGCACTTTTCAAGCATGGTAAAGCAACCCTTTTTTGGGAGGAGTTAGAGGAAATTATGGGCTGCTTGTGGTACATATATACATATATATATATATATATATTAAGAATCCATAAGAAGCAAACAAATACTCTTTTATTGCTATTCATTTGGTCTTATAAACACTGAACAGTGAATTTTGCATATTTACAATTATAGCATATTACAATTATTATTTTATTACTGTAAAGTGCTACAAGACCTTGTGTTCCATTTAATTTAAAGTTGAAATATTTTTTTCTTTCTTAATAACTTGCAGCAAGCAAGATGTGGAATCAGGTGTATCTTTGTTGACTGAGAAAGGGCAGGAAGATGGGTTTGAGCCCACCCAGCCACCTCCTGATATCATTGACTGTTTTGAATTTATCAATAAAGTGTGAAACTTAGTCTGTATTCTAAATCCATTCTCTCTGTAACCAATTTTAAATTACCAAGTCTCAAAAATTTATAACTGTATGCCAGGATTATATATTGCATATAAATAGAACACTAAACAAATGCAGTCAAACATCAAAGGTTAGAATGTTTTACTATTTAACCTGATATGTTTCTAACCTTATATCTAAAATATAGTTTTAATTTAAAAATTTTAAAGTTATGATCATTTGGTGACCTTGATGGAACTGGTATACTAAATATTGTCACTGATATCTACAGTATGGCAGTAACTTTTGACTGTTGTAAAAAGCACAAAAGTTGCTTACTGTACCTAGGTGATACAAAATGATATTTATCAGGATTTTGTAACAGTTCTAGTGTAGTTGCATGCTCCTTCTTTGAATAAATTTCATTAGATGATAAAACTTGTAATAGTTATTTTAATATTATAATCTACACTTAATTTAGAAAAGTTTTTGTATTTTAAATGTAAGTACATATTAAATTCATTTGAATTCTAAAAAAATGAAAAAAATAAAATCCCAAACACTTTGTATTATAGTAATTATACAAAATACTGGTGAAAATGTTTTATGCACACATGTAATGTTTTGTAAGTAAAACTTGTACAATTCAGAACATTTATGTGAGCAAACTATGGGTTACCTGACTAAGGTATGCCATTTTATTTATTTATTTTTCCTTTCATTAATAATATTGGTTCACTACTTACTATATCAAGTATAATTACGTTTGTTTTATTTTAATTATTAAACTTGTATTATAAAGATACATTTGCATTGTTAGCTTAGAATTTGTATTTAGGAATACCATAAATCTCCCAAGGTGACCAAACATCTTGAGATATTATTGAAAATATAGTTAACAGTGAGGGTACCCAGCAAGTGAAACAAGCATTCAAAATTTGATTAATATATATAAGAAAAGTATGTTTAATTAGCTATACTTATGGCCAGGTTCATTTTTAGTTTCAATCTTAAGTACATAGCTAGACTAGAAGAAAGGCAATTGTCTGGTAGCACCCATTGCCAACTTTTTTCTTTCTTGAAGTGCTGATTAGAGGGAAGGCAAATTGTCAGCATCTCTCTTTTTTTTTTCTTTTTCTTTGAACTGTTAACCAGGAGGGAGGCAATTGAGTGACAGCACCTGCCACAAACTTTTTGTTTTGCATACCATGATTTGAAGAACACTGCACTTATTAATTAATGAGACTGTCAATTAATCCATTTGCAGATACCACTAATTGCCAGCCCTGATGTTTATGAAAATCCAAAATAAGAGAAATTAGTACTTGAATTTTCCAATAAATAGTTGCAGTATTATTATGCTAAATGTAATAAAAGTTGTATTCTAAACATACTATGAGGCATTTCTAACACAATCTGCCTTTCACTAACTTCTGGCACTCAACAAAACATGTCAAATGGGGCAACAAGAAGTAGTAAATAAAGCTCATTACTCAATAACAGCCAAAAAATAAGCATGATAAGATTCAAGAAAGTTCAATTACAATAGAGAAAAGAAAGTGACAATATTACTTTCAATCATAAATTCTTTGGTGATTTAAAATACTTTGTTAAAGTAATACTGAATATATTATATACATGCACGAGCCTTTAAGCAACATAATGTGTGACACTGAAACATTCCCATTTTTTTAAGATAACAGTGTAATGAAATCCCACTCTTGAGTTTAAAATACTTTTATTCATACTGGTCCATTATAGATTTTCACCAAGGAAACTAAAAAGAATACATGGGTTTTAAGTTCACGTTGTTTATTCAGTTAAAATTAGTGAATCTTTAGTATTATTATTTTGATCATAATTTGCATTGAAATTTTATGTTGGTGTATTAATTTTTACATTAACTACACTTATTGATTTATCTTATTTTCAAGCTTGAATAGCATCAAAGGAAATTATCTGGAACTCCAGAGAGCATTTTATTTTATGCACAATATTTGTCAGAAGGTCATACATATCTCATGTAAAGGTTTAGATATGATTTTTATGTTGGTTTTAAGTTATCAAATCAAGGTATTATTTCCATGCAATGCTAAATTAATTTATAAGGAATAATGCTTTTGCAACAGTCTTTTGAAAAAAAAAACAACAGTAAATTATATTTGATTGTTATGTGAAACTTGACAGTGTCATTATGTTGTGTTAAGTTCAAGGTTATCTTTAATTTTAGTTGATATCCAGTGATGAACAACATGGCATGGCATTTGAACATACATTGTATATGTACATGTCTAAGTATTGTTTAAGCTCAGCTATCAGTTGAAATTAACATATAATAGTTTTGGAGTGATGTACAGTATTAATCCTTAAGTTTTGATTGTAATAATCACATTATTTTTATTATGGTTTAGTTGCCACAGAATGTTAATAATTTGATAAAGTTATAATCTTTGTTTGTTGAGTATTAAAATTATTGTAATTATTTTGAAACTAGCAGTCCACAACTAGTGTTGCCTGCAAAGGAGATGCAAAATTTAGTGGTTTTTTGAAGAAGCTGACAATATGGCAGATAGTAAGGAAACCAGGGGTGGGCGTGGATTGCAGAAATCACACCTTCTAAAGGTTGTACTTTTAGGTGATGGAGGAGTAGGGAAGAGTTGCTTAATGAACAGGTTTGTTAATAATCAGTTTGATTCAGAATCCTATCACACCATTGGTGTGGAATTTCTAAATAAAGATATCACAGTGAAAGGAGAAGTGTACACTTTACAGATTTGGGATACAGCAGGGCAGGAGAGGTTTCGTAGTCTTCGCACTCCATTTTACAGAGGTTCTGATATTTGCATACTAACGTATGGAGTAGATGATAGAAAAAGTTTTGAGAATTTGAATGTATGGAAGAAAGAATTTGTTTACTATGCAGATGTAAAAGATCCTACTACATTTCCATTTGTTGTTGTTGGAAACAAAGTGGACATTCCACCAAATGAACAGCAAATAACAACAGAAGAGGCTCAGTTGTGGTGTAACAAGAATGGCAATTACTCTTTTGTGGAAACAAGTGCAAAGGATGCAACGAATGTTGAAAAAGCATTCCACATGGCTGTTGGAAACTGGGTGAAGATGGAAGAATCAATGGAGAAACCTGACATGGGAAATACTCTTGATTTGAGGAAACATCAGAATAAGAAATCTTGTTGTGTAACACTATGACTTTAATGTCCTAAGTTCCAAAATTTATGTGATAAAGGTTAATGAGGATTATGTGAAGCGTTAGCATAATATCTTTGTAGAATGTGTGAGATTTATTTCTTGGGTGGATACAAGTATTTATTATCGGTACACCTCTGATTAAATTGTTGCTCTCATTATATATATTTTTGTATTTTGATCAAGAGTGCTATTACCTAAAAATGGCACAATTCTGAATTTTGTAGCAAATCTATTAAATTGTTGTGAAAACTATTCAATTTTAGCTTTAGAAAAATATTTTTTGTTGATAAAAAACATATTCACAAGTGATGCTTGTTGGCAATTCAATGAAGCCAATGTTAACATCAATGGTGAAAGTGATCATGACTTAACCATCCTTGCCCCTAAAGTATGAGTACAGGATGTTCGAAGTTATATAATGAAGAAATTGTTACAAAACACCTTAAATGATTTTGGTATTTTACTGCTTACGTAAAATGAAAAGTGTTCTTTGTTAAAGGTAATTGAGTTAACAACCATTATACAAGCCCTTTCCACTAGTCATACCCTTTTGTTCATATTTTGTACAGAAACTATAGGAAATCAGCTTCAGCTTGCACCAGTACTTCTAATAGTCATGAAAAAAGTCAATTTAAAAAAAAGTGTGATATGGCACTTAGTGAAATATAAAATGCAAGATTAAGAAAAATTTTAACTCTGAATCAAAACATCAATTTTAGCTTATTGCTTCCCATATCATAGGTAATCCCAAATCAGGTTGTTATTTCAAGTACCATTACAAATGTTTTGTTGACTAGTTAATTAGACACAAAAAAATTAGTGCAACCAAACATAAACTATTATAGATTCACTAATGTTCATTTGTAGTTGCTCAAAATATAGCTATTTAAATTCGTCTTATTTGATCATTGTATAGTTGTATATGAAACAATGATTGCTTACAAGAAAATGGACATTCAGTGAGAAGTACGATTTTAGGGACAGTCTGCTTGGAGAACTTAGATGAATAATGAAATTCTAATGTACTTGTGGATTACCATAAAGGCCCCTAATTCATGTTCTCCTTATAGATTTTTTATAAAAAGCAACATACTGTATTTAACCTGCTATCCTTCTAGAGTTAGAAAAAGTTTGATATTGAAATTTGATCTTTAAATTTAATATTTTAATTAAAATTGGTTTCTGTTTATAAAATAGTTAAAGCATATTGTTTCAAATAATTTATATCTAGGCCTACAAACCTGAATTAGGTGTGTTTGTGATAGGAATTGTTTTGGATAGGTAACTATTGTATGATAAGCTCACTAGGAAATCTGAAGTCAAGTTTTGGGAATTCTGGATTGACATTTTCTAAAAGGTAATTATATAATCTAAAAGAGTTTTTATTGTACTTTAATAAGAACTTAGTTTTATTATAAATATAATACATAATAATTTGGAGAAAGGTAAATACTATATTAGATGGGGAAAGTTTAGAGGGAAGTACATTTCAGTCGAAAGTTTCTTCTATTTACCAAGTTTACATATAGATATATGTTGTTCTCTAACACTGTTGTATAAAGACAGCTGAGGCTTAATGTTTGTCTAAAATACATCATGATGTATAAAATACATTTTTATCATTCAAAGTTGTAAGGGAAAACTGCATATCAATACCTGTTTCAAATAATATGTACTAATTGATGGATATTGTTCTTCAGAAATTGATAGTAGAACAATACTTAATATTTTCAGATATCCAGGTATGGCTCAAATTTCTTGAAGAGAAGTGAGCAAGCAGTAAATAAAATTATCTTTTAATGTAGCTCTTTTTGAAAAGCTTCTGACCAAATGCCTCTAAACATTATTACTGAATGTAGTCATATTGACTGTGTGCAGTTATCCAAAAAATAAGCACTTTGACCTTTTCTTTGATGATAATCACATTAAGTAAACTTAAGACTTATACATACCACTTTTGAACATACTAAAGTACTGTACATGTAAATATAGCTTTAGTCAATGACCATATTGCGTATTATTAAGAAGTATACTTTAAATAAAGTGCAAGAAAACTGCATTTTGTTCTTTATTAGAACTCTTTGAATAAGTAGGAAAGTTACAGCTTAACCAATTTTTTTTATGTAACAAATAAATGCAAACATCAACATGTTTAAGATGCATTCATTTTAACAACTGAAGGATTAAGTACATGTTATTGTTTGCTTATTATGGTACTATAAACTAGTTACAATACATAGTGTATTAAGTTAAATACAATAGTCTATTTTAATTGTTTTAATTCACAGGATTTTTACTTTCTAAATTGTTAAGTATTAATGTATAAAGAAATAAAACTAATTATTTAGCACATATTAATTTCATTGGAAGGTTACATACTAGGTTGATCCTAGCTTGCCAATCTTTGCACATTATCCCTAATGTGTGACTTCATTGTAAGATATAATACTAAATTCCTGAACAAGCACCAGTATCTTCTGTAGTTGATCCCAACTCGTTTACCTTTAGAAGTCCTTTAATAGAATTATTTCTTGATGGTTAGTCCACTTTTTTAGTGTGTCTCTGTAATAAATATCAATTTAATCACATTATTTTTCACACACTTATGCTTTCTATGCTTTTTGGACAAAAAACTGGTATGTCTTGAGAAGGTACTTTTTATTTTCACTACTACATATGTAGCTTTTGTGTAGTGTTTGGGTTTTGTATGGGAAATTGCAAACCTCACCCAGCACAGAATGGTTGTTATTTGATGCTAACCATAATAGGTTTGCAATATAAAGCAAATGTTATTTTCACAAGTTATGTTTTTTGTGTGTTTTTTATGATCTCTAACAAAAAGATTAATAGTCTATAATCACCTATTAACTCTTCAAAATATTTGTAGCTCACGACAATTTCTTAAACCATTGGAAACATATGATTTACAAAAGCAGTTAATTTGTTAACTTAAAATATTGCATTAAATGTATATTTTACACATATATGTGCCTCAGCTACAGTTCTGTAGAAATGCTACCTATTACAGCTTCCATAAAAAATAAGGAAATGCAAAAGTAAAGAAAAGCAGTGCACTTACTTTATAATATGGTTTTAGGTGAAGTGTGTTACTATTGAAAATGTTTTAGTATTTCTTTGAAATACAAATGCTGCTATGTACGTTAGTATTACCCTAATTACTTGAAAGTTCTTTGTATGAAATTTAAATGAATAAAAAATTGTACACAAAAAGGATGTTTTATATATTTCATTTCAAATTGATAAAGGGTACGTTTAATAAATTAGGTAAATATTATTTTCAACCAAATACATTGTACTGATGCTGAAATCAACGCTAAAATACTTTTTATTACGCTTGTTTCCAACCATCCATAAAGAACGATATTTTAAAAATATGTATATAATTTGAATACAATGAACTATATTAATTGTTCTAATTCACAAGATTTTTACTTTTTTAAATTAATAAGTATTAGATATGAAAAAAACAAGACAAAAGCACATGTCTGTGTTGATCAGATGTCTCGGTTAAATCTGTACAACTGCCTTGGAATAGCTTAGAATTGTATGTAAACTACTGGCTGAAATGTGTAATGAGTGGAGTTGTGGGATAAACTGCTAAGGTCTTTGCTTGGGTATATAAGTTGGATATACCCTTAGTTCTGGTTCCTGGTTTTTACTCCTCTGTATATCTTATTCTTGTGGACTTGGACTCTCATCCTCAAGCTTTGGTTTTCAATGCTAACTATCCAGACAATAGCCAGTTAGAATTAGAAACTGACTATCAACTTGGTGATATTACAAACACTTGGTTCCCTTGTGGGTCAGCAGTAAGTTTATGGACTTACAGTGCTAAAATCTAAGGTTTGATCCATTGCAGTGAACACAGCAGATAGCTGAATATGGCTTTGCTCTAAAACAAGTAAAGATTTTGTTTAATTTGTTTTCACTTGTATTCTTTTGTTTTCCTTTGCTGTCTTTGTGTTTTTTTTTCTTGCTGAACAATCCTAGACCTGCATTTGTGTGGAAAATTTTGACATTTTTATTTGGACATCAGTGACCATGAATACCACATGTGCAACATAGGTCTTTATTGGTATTTTTATTCTATAAGCTTCCTGTGGTTATACTATGTACTTGTAATGGGAATGTGGGGTTTGGTTAAATAATAAATTAAAATAGGTAGTATATTTTTTACTGACTTCTAAAAACCATGGTTATATTAAGTATATTTTAATTTCAATATTGAATAACCAATTTTCTTATAAAAAAATATACTAGCTTAAGTCACTGTTTTAAGTACCAAAATTATTCCTAAAGAGGTAACTTTAGTAAATGGAAATATTTACAATGTTTCTACTTCATTCATAATATATAAAAATCAGTTTCAAGGTTTTGTTTTTTGATGGATTTTGTTAACTCAGAATTGGAAAAAGCAATAAAATTGAGTTTAAATTAAAAAGCAAGGTGAGGAAAACTTCAAGAAAAGGAACCTGTGAAAATATAAATAGTATTTATACATTGGGCGATGTGGGTTTGTCTTCTGTGCATAAATAAATGCATTTTTTTTTGTTTAATCCACGTTGAATATTTTTCCTCTGTTCTGAAAGCACTGCTTGTCTTCCTATCTCTAAAGATGTACCTACCACTGTGTGTATTGTTACGACAGCGGAAGTCACGTGACGCTGGTAACACGTAATGTGTTCTAGAAAGATCGGGGAACATCACGAATAATCCAGTATTTGCTAGACGCCATTTATTCTTGTATATAAGTGCGCCAGACAGTTAATTGGGATAGAATTGCAGACAGACAGAGACGGACAATTGAGTCAAGCGCGGTAGTAAGTAAGTGCGTGAATCGATCCCTGTGCTTTATAACATGTTTTTATAAAATTGACTGTGGAAATTAAGTGTATTGCAAAGTTGAATTGAGAAAGTATAAACTAGTTTTATTTAAGAAAGGACTTGTGTCGCTAAAGTTTCATCGGAAAGAAATTATACGGGAAATTAACTAAAGACCAGAGACGTAAAGTGTATATATTATATGTATGTATGTATGTTTTACCGTTCTTTATTTATTGGTTGAGAGGATTCTACACTAAGAACACACCATTTCCTAAAGCAAAAGTAGCTGTGCAGAATCACTTAAATAAAGAAGAAAACACTTTAGAAGGTTTTGAGGGAGAATTTATCTGGATTGAGCACAGACAAAAAAAAAAGTAGTAAGTTTTAAGCTGTCATTATTCAGAGATATCAAATTACACCAAATTTGGAAAGCAGATCTAATGACCTCAACCTATTATAGAGAAAACGCCTTAAAGCTTTTGTTTTTCAATGCCATATTACTCTCGAATGTAATATGCTGAAGAAAATATTAAAGGACTGATTAGACATCGTGTGCTCTATAAGTTGAAAGTAAAAACCTTTTCATTCATAGTTACTGTCTACCATCTGCTATTAGACATATGAATATAACTTCTTCTAAGTGACAGTGATTTTGAGTTTCTAGAACCAAAATTCATACCTCCACCGATTACAGCGCATGTTGAAACTTCGCCCTTTTGAAGTTGTATAATTTATGCATTGTTGCAAATGGTTTTAACATTTTAAATGCATGTTCACAGACATATAGGCAGGTTGTGGCACAGTGGTTAGCATGTTGGACTATGATCCGCGGGTTCATAGTTCACGTCTTGTTGCTACAAAATCATGCTCCTTACTCTAGGGCTGTTGATGCCCCACTTTAAGGGTTATCGATGGGTAATGTTGACTAGCTGCCTTCGCTCTAGTCTTATCAGATGAAAATTAATAAGGTACTGCAAATCATGCTTTTCTTGTGTAAGTTAACTTTTAGTATTTCAATAAATAATCTAAACGACTCATTAACCACATATATGTATAAAATAAATACCTATTTGATAATTGATTTTATCATGTATTCGATGTGTAAAAAAAAAAGATTAATATAAAAACAAATCACATGGAGAATTTTTGAACACTGCCATCTTCGTGTTTTATCTAACCAAAAATGTAAAATTAAAGTAGGCGCTTTTCTTATCGTTTTACCTGACCATGATATTTAAAATCGAAGAAGCCGTTAAAATATAGCAATAATAACTTGTTTTTGTAAAACGCTACTAGATGCCAGCACGTCTGCTTCTAGCTCTAAAGTACATGTTTGTCCAATAATAGTAGGCGTTGAGAGTTTCTGTATGGTATTCAGGGATTTTGTTTGTTCGTTTCTTTTGTAATAACTTTTGTAATTTGATTAAGAGGCAGACACGCACAGAACTAGAAGGTGGATAATTTTATTTCTATATCATTAAAATGAAAGATTATACATTAATTACAGGTTGGTATGCATGAGTAGTTGAGATTATGCTTAGTTATTTTTACTAAATGAAATATTTAGGTTTTGAATTTTGAACAAAGTAACAACATGTCAATGGTACCGCCTCTCAATGACTCATCGATATGTCTGATGGCTTATAACGTTAAAAACCAGGTTTCGATATCCTTGGTGGCAACAACACAGATATCCCATTTTCATGGGCGTCCGCAGGAAAGAGAATAAGGGGCATTTTTATTAAAACTGTAAATTTGTGTTTGCGTTTAAGCATACATAATACCAATTATTTTAGTCTGTTGACTTACACTGTAAACGCTGATCCCCTATACACATATTTTGCCCCTCTTGAAAATATTTCTGTGGGCGCCCATGGCCATTGAACAGTAAACAAACATAATCAATGGTACTGGCACAAAATTTGAGCACAATTCAAATCGTTAAGAATATAGTACATTATGTACTACTATTACAATATAAATAAGTGACGTAGTTCAGGGGTGTAAATACACAACAAGAACGATTTCTGCAAATCCTAGTCGCATGTTTCAATGGAAAAAAATAATGTGTAGGTACAAAAATCATATACAGTACTGTTGTACCTGCACATACATCATTGAATTTTCACCAAAGATCCAGAACACCTAATTTTCACTGTCTAGTAGGGACACTGAAACAGATGCGGAAACAAAAATTATCCGGATAAAATCGGGACGTATGGCAAACCTACGTCAAGCCGACTGTATTACAGTTTAATTTAGTTGCAATGCTGAGTGTAATCGCAATATTTTTCCTGTTTTAAGCCAAGTGGCTAGCGTGACATACTATGGAATTACTGTTTTATCGTTCACTTATCATTATCGAAAAGTAAAAATTGTGATAGAAATTTTGGATCGTGGGTGCATTATGATAGTGACATTCGAATCCCGCTAGGTGGTCGAACAAGAATTAGTTATGGTTGCCAAAGGCTAAATACCTTTCTTCTGGTTTATCAAACCAAAATTATGGATAGCTAGTCCTCCGGTGGATCAGCTGTAAGTTTACGGACTTACAACGCAAAAATCCGGGGTTCGATTCCCTGTAGTGGCCAGAATTGATAGCCCAATGTGGCTTCACGTTAAAACAAACACAATCGACGGCTAGCGCAAATAACCCTTGAGTAGCTTTGCGCAAATATCAAAATACTAACAAGTAAACTCTCCTGTTTCGGGTAAGTTTATTTTAATGAAGAGGAAATACAACATCTGGTGTTATGTGAGCTAAACGTGTTGAGTTAAGAACAATATTCACTCGTTATTTAAAATCGCTAAACAATCTGCATCGTATGTTTATCCTTAAAATATATAAAACAATTCAGTATTGTTCAAATTAAATCTTTAAAGTGCCCTCTATAAAGAAATTATATTTAAGATACTTGATTTTTTAAAAGAACATTTACCCCAAGGTAAGAGTAATCAGAAATATTATGGTTGGACTTTTAATGATACCAAAGTATGGCTAATTATGAAAAAAATATTATAATATAATGTAAACCATTTTAAAATGTATTTATAGATAAATATGGCAATTTTAATTTACAAAATCAGTTTAACTTTCACCATTGGGAAACAATGTTTTTCAATTGACTTAAATTTCCATTATTTTTTATGTGGCAAACTTTGTAGCAAAAACTTTACATTTTTGTACAAGAAGTTTTAATAACTAGTGTTGTAAATACAAAATATTTGTGAACTGTGTAGAGTGATTTCAAGATAAGGAGCTAAATCAGTCAATATGTTTTTGTGAATTATTTGAATTTGCGTTTGCTATCGCGCATATTGAGTTACTTTGTACAAGTAAGTTTATTTTATTTACGCAAGTGTAGCACAGTTTCAACAT